GTGTTTGGATATTTTATCAAACCAAGCGTCGTTTCATTTTGAGTTTTTTTTTTTCCTTCCAAAGTTGTGTTCTGTTTTTTGCTTCCATCATTGGTATCAGAGCCCGGTTGAGAATGACAGCGAGTTCAAGCAGTATAATTTGCAACCTCAGTTGCCCAAGTTCACGGGGAAGAACTACAATCAATGGAGTATTCAAATGCGGGTATTGTATCAATCTCAAGAGTTGTAGGAGATGTAGAGAGCGGTTTTCAGGAGCCCGAAGTTGAGAGAGATTTGAATCAAAGACTTCTTCAAGTTGAAAGAAAATCGGAGAAAGGATCGGAATGCTCTTTTCTTCATCTATCAAGCGGTAGATGAAATTATTTTTGAGCGGATCTCTATGGCGGGGCAAATTATTGCGTCGGTGTCCGGATACGTCCGGACACCAATCCAGAAATGCCACATCAGCAAAATACACTGGGTCCCGATATATTTGAGTGATGTGGCTCATCCGGATTGGTTGTCCGGATGTCAGGTGACCGGATGCAATAATTTGCCCTATGGCCGAAGACCGCGAAGGAGGCTTGGATACACTGCATGCTTCTTACAAAGGAGATGATAAAGTAAAAATGGTACGTTTACAAACCCTACGAAGCCAATTTGATATGTTGAAGATGAAGGAGTCGGAAAGTGTGGAAGAATATTTCAATCGGGTAATCACCATTGTTAACCAATTGAAATTGAATGGAGAACTTTAGAAGATAAAGAGTTATTGAGAAATTTTACGAAGCTGACAAGAAAATATGAAGCCACGGTGGTAGCCATAGAAGAAGCGAAGAACATAGAGCAAATGTCTATTGAAGGTTGCTTGGATCTCTACAATTCCATGAATTAAGAATGAAGCAATATGATTCGCACACACTTGAGGAAGCATTCCAACTCAAGTGGCATTGCGTGGGAATTTCAAAGGTGGCCGTGGAAGAGGTTTTGATAGCAGGGAAGAGGCTCTTTTGGTAGAGGAAGAGGCTCTTATGGTACTCGTGGAAGAGGCCGTGCTGGTAGATGAGAATATACACAAAGTGATGGAGGTGAAGTTCAAGGTGGACATATTATAATACATCCATATGGACATATTTATACTAGCTACAACTTCTCACCTATTCGTTGAGATTTGAAATATACATAACATATGGACATATTATATAGCTAGAATTCATATCTTTAGATTAAGAGTACTTTCATTTGGGTTATTTGATTTGTGGAGAAAGGAATATAAGACTTAAAAAAAAGATACAACATAAAAGAAATATAATATATTTGAAATATTTGACGTAGTGTAAAAGAAATATATTTATTTGATTTGTAATAAATAAAATCAACATAAAAAAGATGATGGTGTTGGTAGACGAATAGCCAATTGTTGCACTAGTCGTCTTCATCATGAGGTAGATGGAGATGACGATAATGGTGATGATGAAAATGGCGACGGTGGCTAGGGGAGGCTAGTGATCAATTATGGTAGGAAGTTATAGAAAAAATCATGATTTTAAAAATCGGATTGGACCAGCCGGTTCAAATGGGCTAAAATGTGAACCGTCAACTGCCATGTTTGGTTTCCTCCTGCATCTGCTGTGACGTAAAACCTGCTATAACCGCAGGTCAGACCGTTGAATCACCGATTTTTGAAAACTGTGCGGTTCATTTCTGGCTTTGGCTTTGTTTGATTCCCGCTCTATTTTTCTTGTTTTTAACAGAGATTTCAGACAAAGATGGAGAAAAAATTTCTTTCTAAAATCTGATAAAATAGGGAGGTTCACGGGACGTTATTTTGAAGCGTCGATTCAAACGGCAGAGGGAAAAATTACAGCGAATCAAACGAGGCCTTCTCCGGCTTTCACGTTCGACGGAGGATGCTCCTATTTCGCATGGGATGTGATATGGACGGATCAAAAGGGGGATCGGCAGGTTCGACTTTTGATGCAGGGCGCCGTTCTCAAACAGTAGCTTCTTCGTGTTCAGGTGGTTGCCGATTTAGCCGCTTCATTCGTAAAGTGCCGCACGCCCCAACATGGGTCGATTAGATGAAAATTTCGGATGGTCTGCACACTAGCAAGGCTCCAATTAACAAGTCGGAGATGGATTGCAAACTGGCTGAACACTTCGTGCAAAGCTCTTGAGGATTCTGAGCTGTGTGATCGTGAATGCCTCATGAGGATCGGATAGATGTCTGCGTGTAGCCTTCCCATTCCGAGCAGATTAGCTCAGTTATGGGGAATGTATCGAGAGTATATACATTTAACCCAAGTTTTAATTCCATTCTTAATTCTGAATTAGATGTATGGAAGATAAAGACCAAGCTGTATTTCAAAGCAGGTGTGGAATATCTCCCAGCTACAACCGTCTATGCAGCTCTCAAGCTGTAAGATGCTCTTCAAATGTTTGTCAAAATGCTCCCCCCAATAGATCATCTCTATGGTGAACGATCCAGTCGACGTTGATTCAAACTTTCCATCAATTTTGTGATGGAATAAAATAGGTCTCCGAAGTACTAAGACTAAGTCTCTTACATTGAAAGTTCTAAGGTGACACAATTTATCACGATTTTGAATCATTTGTGACTTATCTAGTTTCAAATTTTATCAAGTTCGTAAGCGACTTTCTTAGAGGTCCTCCAATAGGAGTCGAGCATTCTACTTAGTTGTGATTTGATCTTGAACAACAATTCCTAACGATAGAAAACACACCTCTAGATGGGAATGATTTTGGACCCAACATAGAGTATGATTTTGCGGAGAGGACCTTGAAGGAAAAGATGCCTATGAGTAAGGATCCACACACATTCCTCAGGAATGAGATTTAGAATATTCTCATTGAATATAAGATTTATTCTTTTTATTGAAAAATTTTCTCTTAACCGTTTGGACCCTATTAGAATGATAAATGGGAAAAAATTCTCAAATACAGTGAGAAGTAGAGTGACTACAACTAACCCGAAAAGGTTTAAGGATTTAGATTTTGTTGACCCAGATCAAATTTCAGAGAAACTAAATTGGGGTTCTCCCATATATTTATATTTTTTAAATTAAAATCAATTTTAAAAAGTTTAAGTTGGAAGGCTTGTGTCAGTACTAGTTTGTTTTTGCTACTATAAGTTATTTCTTCCACTCTTTAGTTGTTCATACTGCATGTCCTACTCCTTTATTGTTTATGTTCTGATAGACATGAGTTACTTAATGAGTTTGATTTATCATACTCACACATTATCCCTTTTTATAGAAGATCTTACAGACATTTTTAGTGGACTGCCACCTCAGGAGCAAAGTTACCAGCAATTAACTATCTTTGATATTTATTATTTTGTAGCAGTTTATTTTTCTTTTGATTAAGAGGGTTGAGTAGTTTCTTTCTTATTTTTTGTTCTCTTTACAGTCCTTCTAGCTTACATCAGAACTATTGTTATTTGGATGTACTAGTTATTTGCGTTTTATTAATGAATTGGCTTTTTAGTTTACTTCCCTTTTTTACTATGGTGTATATATATCATATTGCATCACTCATATATGCTTGTTCCCATTTGTAAATATAAAACATGTCTTTCTATCATTTCATTGTATCCCGTATTGCTGGGGTGCACCGTCTTTCAGACCTAGGGCGTGACAATTATATTATGGATAAACAAAGTGACACTATAAATGGATGAGAACATAATACTGCAAATAAATAATTTCTTATAATGGTTAATCCCAATGAGGGTAAGAAAAAACTTTATATTGAAAAAGAAATAAGTCAAATATCAATGTAAATTAAAATTATTGATAAATAAAAAAGGATAATTTTCATAAGAATTTGACTAGAATAGTGTCAGTTCATTTATTTATTTATTTTTATCAATGTAAGGGAGGTTTGAATTGAGGTTTATAGTCTACTAATGGTTATATAGTTTTTTTTTATAGTGATTCTGTAAATTATTTGGGAAATACAAATTTTGATAGTTTTTTTTTTTTGGCTTATGGTATTAGTTTGTGTTTAAGATGTTTTAAATTTGATGTCTTTTGCTTTGTTGTGCCCTGCCTCAACTGTTAGGAGAAAGCCAGCATGGGGCATGATGCTTATTAACCTTGAAACCCTATCAAAACCTACATAGAAGATTTCAATCAAAGCTAGGTCCTCTTTGACCTTGTCCTAATTTAACTTATTCAAATGCTTCTCAAACCTTTAAAAAAACAACTATATTGCTTTAGCACTATTCTAGACACATTCCTTTATCCATTCCAAGAGTTTTTAGCCTTCGAAATTTCTCCTTTTTTATTCTCACTAAATTCATAAATCCTATGACTAGCACTCCATCAAACACTTACCTAACCCCTTAGCTGTCCTACTTTCTCTAAGCCACCCTTTCACCCACTCCCCCACAAATAAATCTACTACTTTTAAATCGTTCCTAAACCTCTCTATAACGGCAAATTATTACATCTGGTCATCGGACGCGGAGATAGATCCTGATATTTATAAAATATTATTTTAAATTAAGCGCGTCAAAAGTGCAGGCAAAATACAGTCAAAAGCACAGTCAAAAGCGCAGTCAAAAGCACAGATGACATTACATGTTTTTATTGGATGTCCGAACCTATTCTGCGCGTCCGATGACCGGATGTAATAATTTGCCCCTATATAACACATTCAAATTTTGATGGCTTCCATTTGAAGTTTGGGCCAAGATTTATAAACACATTAGAATTTACATACATAACATCAACTTTATATATATATATATATATATATATATATATATATCTCAATCTGACAATTTTTTTTTTTCAAAATTTTAACTGTTTCTTTATGCTTAACTCTGTCTCTTTGTACTTGAACTCTGTCTCTTTCTACTTGGTTCATCCAAGTGGACTCTTCGTTTAGCTCATAACGCTCGCCATCCTACGAAGATTCCCAATTCCCGATTCACTCTTTCACTTGGAAGCCATTCGTCGAAGATTTTCTGCTCGATTCGACGCAGAGAGTTGATCATTCATTGAATCATTGATATTCGGTTTGCCTTTCAGTTCTAGCCTACGATTTTCATATTTTATTTCCTATTTCTCCACAACTTTCTCCTTGCGGACTTTTTGGGGTGCGAGGAGCCCGCTCTTTTCAACTTAAAGAAGAGGTTTTTGTTTCCGTCCACCTTACGCCTCGAGGTACAAAGACTGTGGCAAACCCGGACCTCAAAAATCCACCTTGGGCCTTCTCTTGATTGCTCCGAGATGTTGCCTAGAATTTTCCAGGCCGAGGATGGCAAGGATTTCTTTTTTAAGTTGCAATCCAGATTTTTTATTTCAAGTCTCATGAAGTGCTTTCTTCCATTTGTGCTTCTGGCTTCTGGTGCTTTGTTCTTTGGTTCTCGGTACTTCGATTCTCCCCAAATAGCTATCCAGCCGTCGAGCTCCTTGTTTCTTCCATGTGTAAACAAGGAGCCGAGTGTTCTTGACCGCTGGGTTAAGCCGCCTTCAAGCTTGATGCATAATATGAGTGACGAGGAGCTTTTCTGGGCTGCGAGCTTTGTTCCCCAAGTGAAGAAGTATCCATTTCATAGAGTCCCGAAGGTAGCTTTCATGTTCTTGACGACGGGACCTTTGCCTCTGTCCCCACTCTGGGAGAAGTTCTTCAAAGGCAACGAAGGTCTTTATTCTATCTATGTTCATTCTCTGCCAAGCTACAAAGCCAATTTCCCACCTGAATCTGTGTTCTACAAAAGGCAAATTCCTAGCCAGGTAATTTATATTGTCTATTTCAATCTGTTTTGTCATGATTTTTGAAATATTTTTGGGAAAAATCACCCCTTCATTTTTGTAACCTTGACTATAACATTCGATGGCATGCATACATGATCTTGGGGTTGACTAGATTGAGTTGGTTCAGATAGTAAGAGGTACGACGTTCACTTGAAGACTATTTTACTTCTTCTGGTAAATATTTGTTGTCACGACCTGATTTGGATACTCGAATTAACGTGGCAAGAACGAAAAATCGGACAGATGTAACATTTCATTCAATTTCATAAACAATTTAAAATTTAACTTCTCAATACAACTAAAGTGTCACTATTACAAAATTTTCATAAAATTACTTATGCTATTTTTTTTCAATTTAAATATTTACATCAATCATAAATTACCTATTTTCATTTGCACGCCATCTTCTATATACGTACTTCTCATTTTCAATCATTTTTATTTCTCTGGAGACTTACTTGAAAATGTTAGTTTAATATAATAAATTTGCAAAGTAATCTCAATGAGTTATCATCAATAAATATACAACAATTATTCATATAAAATAGTCACATAAAATAAATATACATCGTTCTTCAACTTTCTTACATAATTAACATATGCGTATTTTTTCATATACTAAAGATTTTTATAATTTCACATAAATTATTTCATATTTTGTATCATTTGTCCATTTTCACTTAAACATTTTTATTAGTATAGGTCCTATAGGAGCACCGTCTAAATGCATCAATAAAGGTACAACCATTTTCATATCATTTTTCATTTCCATTTTAACGTGCACGAGTATTTTGCTTATCCAGTTAGTACCATACAGGAGTGAACTCCTATAATTTGCGTGCATATACTTTTTTCTTTTTATATTTGCATTTGTTTTATTTCAATCATATGATTTCTTTGCAAGGAAAGAGGTTGATATGAGCTTTAAGAAGGTCTGAACTTGCAAACACCTTCAAGCTGCCTAAAACTCAAACATATTTTAGAAATATACAAACACGTTGCCTAACACCTTCAAGCTCTTCAATAACATAGAAGGAATTATATAACTACAACAAGAACAAATGATACGTGAAGACTAATGTAAATACCGGTTTAGCCTTTTAAAGGCCTGATTGAAATAAAACAAATGCAAATATAAAAATGATAGAGGTTGATATGATGCTTTAAAAAGGTATGATTGTTTCGTCCATTTGATTTACACCTATTGTGCTGAATTTTTAGTACCGTAAAATGTATGGGATGCATGATTGCCATGGCAATGGTTGTTTGGATCCTAATGGCTATTCTTGGATTTAGAAGTGATCGTTCTAAAATACTTGATTTTGTGGAAGTAATTAGTGAATAATTTGATGCTTCTAGATGATAATGCTAAATAAGTCCAAACGCTTGATGCATCCAATGGAACATACAAAAGGAAAACAAAAAAATAAATCACCCTGATTTATTTATGAAAGATTTAATGGTAATATTTGAAGCTTAATAGATTATAAGGCAATTATATTATATTTATTTGCAGATAAACCCCTCATTTTGTTTGTTCCTTGATTCTGGCATTGAATTTTTTATTTGAGCTTAATTAATTTTTTTTTGTTTTTTTGGCTACCTAGAGAACATCTATGATGAAGTTCCAAATGCCCAACCTCTATTCTTTCATTATTAAATGTTGAAACGAATATTTACTTTCACTTTACTAATGCTGTGAGTAAAGAGTTGGTGGTTTTTTATTGCTTACAAATCAATTAATTTTCATAAAAGCTTTCTTCAAATCAATTTTTTTTGCTTTAGCATGCCTATGTTTGATGCTATCTTATGAATTTAGACTGAAACAACATATTTTGAACCCTGAACATGATAGCACACGTCAATTAAATATTTCATCTTTGTAGAGGTGTACCTATTTAGGATTCATATTGTGAATGGTAAGATAATCTTTTTTTTCAATTGTTTGTTTTTATTAAGGTTTAAATGTAATAATATGAGGAATTTTTAAGATTTTGGAAACTTTTTGCGCATATCAACACATGACAAGATATTCTATGTTTCAATTGGTAGCGTTTGATCCAAAATTTCCTCTAGAAAGATATCAAGGCATTACTAGAGAAATGAATAAATATCAAAACAACAAGAAGGCGATAGAGAGGCACTAAGTCTCAATGAATCTCTTAATGTATTGGTTTACATGTAACCTTGACCAAATCTGTTTGAATAAAGAGGGGCGAGCTGAATCAAGCTATAAAGAAATAAATGTTGTAGTGAATTCTAGTGAGATTTCATATGATTCTATCATGACCATGCACGACCAATGACCCTATTATTTATATGCTTGAATTAAGGTCAACGTTACAAAATTGTATAAATAGTACAATAACATAAAAAATATATAGGTTGAATGTTATGTAGCTACTTGTATGGCGGATGAGTGAGACTTGAGGGTGCTTTCTAGTTAGGTTTTGAATTAAGGGCTAGCACACTTGGTCAGTCCTTCGAAAAGAACACTTTTGTCGATTGGTGAACACTCTGGCTATTTGGTGAGATATTTTGGGCAAATAACCTTATTTTATGGGTAACTTCATGAGTCTCTCGGAAGAGATAAAAAACTTAGCATTAAGGCCCAATTTAGCTCTTGGGCGACTTGTCTGAGATGCAATTCTAGCAAAATCAAGGTTTTGGGCGACTTTCGAGTTTATGCGGTTCAAGCCAATTCTCATTCTCAATTAATGACTTCTTGAACCTAGTTCAAATTATTATGACTTGATTAACGTAATTTAGATGAATATGGGTGTACATCAATTCCTTAATTCTCTTGTTCTTTTCGAGAGGTTGTGAAGGACTTGAGAAACTATTGATAGGCCCAATTTGGCTTAGATATCTTGATTTATGTATAAGGATTAATCTAGAGTGTTGGCTCGATAAGGTGCGACTAGAAATTTGAGGTTCATGTTTCATTTATAGAACTTCGATTTTTGTACTTCATTTATTGTAATGTCTTCATGAATGTAATTCTTTTGTAATAATGACATCTCAGATAATATTGTTTTGTTTTAATTCCCCGATAATTTATTAATTGTTCAAATTCTTATTTGACCTTTAATTTGATTATATCTTTAAGGGTAATTCATCATCTTCAGGACGGTTTGCGCCTTTCGACAAATCGGGGGTAACCATTTCTAAGACTTACCACTGGAGCGGACTTTTCTCTCGCAATGTTGTGCTTGTTGCAAAGAAGCAGCTTGAGTTGTAAAGATCAATTTTTAGTCATTACTTTAGCATTTTTAGGATTCAACACACCCTTGTTATGTGATTTTAATGAATATGGATAGTGTATAAATAGAGAAGTCACTCTTTGAGTCATTGATATAAGAGATTTGTGACTTGCAGATTTGAGTGATTTGTAGCTTATTATCACGAGTGACTTAAAGATTAGAAACTTGTTGAAATATGCATTAACAAATAGGTAACTAAGCAACTCACCTTGGTCTATTGGTTGAGAGCTTTGGCTACCAACTAAGAGATCTTGGGTTCGAGTCTTACGTATGTGATATGTGTGTGAGTTTGCCTTAATTGACTTAAATGTCCCAAAAAAAAAAAAACCAAAAAAAAAAAAAAAAAAAGGTAACTTACAGTATTTAATATGATTTTGCTAAAATTTGTCAAATTTGTGTTTATCCTTAGGTAAAACTCATGATTTAAGTTAATGTTTGGGCAACTTTGTCAAGTACAGAATAGGCATCTAGCTAGGCTGTAACTCGCGTATAGGGAGTAGTCTTACATTTTACTAGATTTCTTTTAGTAGTGACAGCTCAAGTCACCTATTAAGGTTAGTCTATCTTTTGTTTAACTAGTTGATCATGCATTCATGAAAAAGGTTTTTCTGATTATGGTCCAATTCATCAACATCTCAATTTTTCTAACTTCAAGTTTGAGTTACTTCAAGTAGAAATTAAGTGTTCACTTCATGATCAAGTGATAGTTTCTTTAAGTATTTCTAAGTAACGAGAATTTTGAGATGATTCTTTTGAATATCAAAATTTAACTTCATGAGAAACCTCATGTTGACATAGATATTTCAACATGGAATTATGGTAATCATGTTGATGTAGATACTTCACCATGGAATTATGGTACTGCAATCCCCTTTAAGATATCAGGTTGAGGCGACCAAGTTGGTTAGAGAATGAGTATCAGCATCAATTCTGAAAATTAGCAGCTCCCCATTAAATAAATATAAAAGATCTTTCTGTATAATACTATTTCCTCCATGTTAAGTAGATCTCTAAAGTGATATTTTTATATTAGAATAGTTTACAAGTTTAGGTTTAAACTTAACAGAAGACAACTATCTTAAAGGCCTTATCTTGTAATGGTCAAATAGTCTACCTTTGTGATCTTCAATGCTAACTTAGCATGACGATGATCACCAGATTGAATTCTCTACTAATTGACTTTTGATGTAGGCGGGGGGTCAAAATAACTTTGGTTCTTACATCTTTTGGGTTGTTGTTGCTTCTCGGGTTGGTCCTTGGCTGTTTGGGTTTTGAGCTGAATTCTTGGGAGCTACTTGGTTGTAGCTCATTATTGCTTGAGCCGATGTTTTAGCTCATTATTTGGAGGAGTAATTGCACTTGATAGCTCATTAAGAGAAGTGTTTTCTTGACTTTTCCCCTTCTTTGTGTCTCCTCAGTTTCTTCCTGGTGTTGTTTCCTGTGGCTGGTTCTCCTCCCTTGCTGGGTGCTGGTTCCGGTCCCCTTTGTGCCCCTTCGGTTTCTACCATGGCTGCTTTCCTGTGGCTGCTTTTACCTGGTTCTCTGTGTTGCCTTTTTGGGTTGCTTTTTCGGTTCTCCAGGCTGGTTCAGGTTCCCCTGGCTGCCCCTTCGATTCCTCCCATGGCTGCTTGTCCCGTGGCTATTTTTCCTTGTTTTATGTGTGGCCTTTTTTAGTGTTCTTCTGGAATAAATTCTGGCCTTTTTGTGGATGTTTGGGTGC